TATATTAAGGCCGTTATTTAACTATTTTAAAAGTCTATTAATAGAAAGGGCATTATAACGAGACTTTTAAAACCCTAGGATTACTTTATAACTAATAGTATTTATAAATCCTGTTTAGAATGTTTTAAAGCATTAATAATTGCTTATATTTTAAATGTTTCAATTTTACAAACATTAATATAGATAAAGTAAAAAGCCTTTGTTATTTCAAAACATCTTTATACCCTCTTAGGTAAAAATAAAATATTAAACGTAGTATTATTTCTTTAACTACGTGATAAAGATATTTTCGATATTTTATAATAAGAATCAAAGGAACTATTACTAGGTTATATTCTTAAAAATTAAGAGAGTTTAATTTGTAATTTATTATTATATCGTAACCCGTTAAGGCGTATAACGCGCGTTTTAGCGCTATAAAAAGTAGAAAAAAGTCGTTAGATAGTAATTTTTAAATAAATAGTAAGTAGATAACATTATTAAAAGTAAATTAAGCGAAAAAGAGTGTATATAAGGTAATTATTAAATAATTACAAGACTAAAGTAAAGACTTACCCGCTAATAAATTAGCCTATAAGCTAATTAACTCGGCTTTTTTAATATCTTATTAATGCGTTTTTTAATTTATTAAATCTAGGCTAAATTAAATAGTAGTTCGATAAGTATAAAAACGTCATTATAGTTTAAAATAAAACCTTTAAACCTCTATTCTTTTAAAGCCTTAATATTATATAAATCAAATCTTTATAAAGATATTTAAGGTTTTTAAAACTTAACTTAATTGATATTACGTCAATATAAAGTTAACTTAACTTAGTTAATTCAAAGTTATTTTTAAAACTATAAGGTAAGTCAAGTTAAGCCTTAAGTCAAGTTAATTCGGCTTGGATTGATGGGGTCGCTAACTATATGTTGGAACCAGCGTCGGGTAGGGGTCTTAATATGTGGTATTGTTGGATTAAAGGTACGCCTAAAAGGCACCTTGACAGGTAGACAACGGAACCTAGTTGTTCCGTCCTGATCCAGCCCCCTCTGGCACAAAACTGCCACGGTCGCACAAGGACACTCTAGACAGACGGAATACACACACACACACTTCACACTGACGATTGACTCAAATCTGACAGGTATTGTTGAATACACGGATCTTGATTGATTCTATTGATTGTTCTGCTCTGCGTGCAGAGATTGATCATCTGTCTTCTTGGTGGGTCAGATGCCCTGTGCGTCTCTGCCCCACTGGAGATCTTCCGGTGTCTATCTCCGGTTTCTATTCAACAGATATCGACGGCTCGTAGTGGGGTTTGAATTCCGATCGCAAGCCACTCGGCGGGGCTGCAAAGGACACGACCTAGCCGAGGCAATCGTTTGTACGTGATTGGACCAAGCAGGGCGATTTTAGGCGAATGATCATACACCCTTCATGTAGAGTAGTATCAATGAATCTCTTTATTAATCACGGGCTTGTGGTTTAGTGGTATAATACTCCCTTAGCATGGGAGTGGTCCGGGGTTCGATTCCCCGCGAGTCCATCTTTGGAGGTTTAATTCCTCTTATACCTTTTATTCTGCCTTTGTAACTTTTGTAGTTTGATCACGATTTTTGTTGTGACTTGCAAGCTTGATAGTGATCTGGCAGGAATGTTGACAACTTTGTGTGGCGCGCATGGGGCTGTGGCTATGTTATGTGCTAACCATACCTATCAGCTGACATCAAATGCAACTACCAGTTGACACACAATCCTTCATTTAGGCACGATAACTTTCGACGTGGACCGGATGTTGAAAACAAGACGTGTTTGCCTTCTTTCTGCTCAGGTTGACCAATGTAGGAGATCGCCCCGAGATCCGAGTGCCTAGGCGTGTAGGTAATTCCCTGTACACTTATTGTTACTTGGGTTGCGGTGTTGACGGTCCACAGGGGAATGAGGTTTCTTCGCTGGTGAGAGCAGGTCGCATTGGCTATCAGACTTCTTGATGTTTGCCTTATGTAGGCGAACGGATTGACCTCATTCTGACAAAGGCAATGGAATGTCTTCAAGTCCTGGTCTCGACACAGTGCTCCTACCATGGGCTGGATTACGGCCACAATGCTTTCCCCTGAGTGTTGTGGATATCTTATTCAATAAGGCTCATCGGGCTATTTCCTTAGTCACGATCATCACATCGTTGCCTCCATAATATCTCGACATTCCCTCTCGTCATCATACCAGACCTGAATGATACGTCGAAGTTTCCCGTCCACTCCTCCTGCGGTTCGCACACTGCCCTGCTGAGCCCGTTGTTTTCCAGACTATCCGCCAACTTCCTCCTGGCGGAAAATATCGCCGAAGCTGGAACACGTGTACTTCTCCTCCATTGTGTCTCTGCTCTCCATGATGATGACGGCGCCTCGCAGGTCCTCGGACCAATACACAAAGCTGCCATCCTCATGATTCCCGCCCCCCACGAACCATTTTGTCGATGCCCAGGGTGTCGGTGGTGACCATGCCTTGGCCGACTTAGTGCGCTAGGAACTTCAGCTGACACAGGCCGGACAAGTGGGTGCACTATTATATCAAAAGTCGATAGACAGTGGGTGGTCAGGTCCGCTCCTAGTTCTTCCAGCGGCTAGGGCAGGTCGAGGATGAGTAGTGTCTGACCTTTCGTTGAGATATCAGTCCAATAAGGCTCGTTGGTGCTGCAGCGTGGGTTTCTTGAAACCAAGGTAACAGCTTCCATCCGCGTCCTCAGCAATCATGTTGACCATTGCGATCATCACGGACTCGTTGCGGTATATTGTACCAGCCTTGTCTCCTGCTGCTTAGCCCTTGAGACCCGTAATAAACGAAAGTGAGTACGACAAAGACCCTAGTTTCCAGGGACGGAGAAAAAGATCAAGAGGGCAGAGCTGATATGGTGGACGACATATTCGACAACCGAGGACACCTTTACCTACTGTGCACAGGTCGAAGATGACCTTCAGCTTCAGCCTGGCTCGCTGCCAGCCACCACTCTGACCGTCAGCCGACAAACCATTTGGTCACGTGGTTGAGAGAGTTTCTCCCAACCCGCGCGACTACTGGTTGAGCTCCCGAGGTCAACACAAGCGTGAACTCTAATGGTGATAAGGTTCACGGCCTTGCGCCACGACAAGTCTCTGCTGCCATGAGTCATGTGATGCCCCTATAGCTGACGATGGAACTTTCACTGTCAGCTAATTTGATAGCAGTCACGGTCCCTGGCAGAGACGATAAGAAGATTTGACGAATGATACCATGGGCTTGGATAATCGTGCCTGGTCAATAAAGCCATCATGAATGATCTGAGGTGGTATAGTGGCCACGCAGCCTGTAGCTGGAATGAGGAGGCTGACAAGACGAGGCAGCCCCCAATGAAGGCAAACCGACATATCGGATCCTACCTACCCAATGACCACCGAAGCTTGGAGGATGGAATCAGCATTTCGGCCAATCCCAATGCAATCCTGTAGATCGGTGCCGTCGCTGGAAACGCAGCGCCAGGCGGGAGCTAACTAGAGCTTGCAACACGTGTTGAAACGGCTTGGGTGATATCGGCAGCACTGAGGTGAGTCTGCCGTCCCATATGACCGGGACGATAGCGGTGCACCTGGACAGTGCTGATTGGTTGACTGTATGTTTCGAAGAGGCTGAAAGAGGCTGGAAGAGGCTGAAAATAGAGGCCGCATGGCTTGTAGGCAACGTACCGTACCAGGCAGCCGGTGTATGCAAAGTTGGCTCTTGATTATGGGACCAGCCGTCTAGGTAGTCGGCTGAGATAGCCGAGTCATCAAGTCTTCCATTCCTCATCTTGGAGGATGCTGTCGTTCCTGCAAGCTTACAATGCTGACATCTGATGCTATGCTCCCGCTCGAGCTTTGCTGACCTTGTTCGAGGTTGAAATCTTTATTTAGCAGCGTAGGCTTGCCAATAACATATGATGCGTCAGCCAGATGCAGAATCAGGGCAACCATGCCGCTGGAGATCCGGAGGTGATGGTCTTACAGCGTTTTGAGGAATGCAGATGAGATGATCAAACATCACGTATTTAAAGTATGCGCCTATGTTTTTGTCCGGTGGCGTCCCAGTGTACGTGAATTTGGTGTGAGGCGAGTGCACGGCTGTCGTGGATGGGAACCACTGGACGTTGGTGAATGGTCTGATAGGAAATTGAAACGAATGCGGCCCTCCTTCCCCCACTTAAATAAACCCCTGGACGGTGAGTCGGCAGGTCGGGTTCAGGAATCAGCGGGCGTCGTGCTAGCGCCACAGTTCCCGAGCCTGAGGACGCGATGGAGGTGCCGCTAAAAGGTACCTGCTATTAGTGCCTTGCCGGCCCATGCTTGGCGTGTTCCGAGCAGCCTGGCGGCCAGGACTGCGAACCTCACCACGCCAGCACGCTCACACCGACCGAATTGCTGTGTGACCATTGCCAGGTCGAGGGTTGAGGGTTGAGCAAACACTGCAGACACCGGAGTCCGTTTGGTTCGTGTTCATGTTCCTTTACTGGAAGTTCCTTCAAGTGCATGGAATGATTTCCAGATCCTAGCAGAATCTACGCCGGCGCAGATCGATCGACCCCTGCCAGTCACCACCCGCACCAACGCTCTCAGGACAAACGACACCTGAACCGAGCACCTCTCAATTTCACTTCTTTCATGCTCCTGTCCCTTTCCCTAAGACCGCCAACAACTCCCGGTGCTGACGCCGTTCAAGCAGTACTTCTTTCTCGACATCTTCCTTTCTGTCTTTCTTTGAGCGGCCGACCAACATCCCCAGAGCTGTCCGCCCGCCCGCTGCTAGGTCGCCCTTCTCTCCCTCCTACGTTGCATTGTCTATGCAGATACCCTTACCTACCTCCTGACCAGCACATGAACCCACTGCCCATGGTCGAGGCTCCTTTAGATACTGCACTGCAAACAACTGCCGCCGCCACCTCTGGACCTAGTATTCGGTCGGACTCCAACAGACACTCGTTCACCCCGTACCATCACCTGCCAACATGTCGGTGCACGAAGAGCCGATTGACCAGCCTAGCTACCAAGTTGGGGAAGAGTCGCCAGATGTTTCGGACAAGGACACGGTACGTAGACCGTCCGCTTATGAGTGCCCCCTCAGTCGGAGGCAGCATGTCCAGTTGCACAGTCGCAGGCTGTGATTAGCCAATCAATCCAAACTGACCACACGTATAGGACACATTCGAAGATGCCGTCGATACCGGGTCCGTCCGATCCCTGACGAAACGCTCAGTCTCCCAATCGAAGCCTTCGCGACCCATGAGCAGCGAAACAGATGCCACTTCAGAGGCCCCAGACAGCCCGCCTGTACAAGCAAAAGTGAATGTGGACATGGTGGACGAGAAGGAGGAGACCACACAGCAAGTCAACGGCTCGGCCACAGAGTCCACGAAGACCTCAAAGCGGCTTTCAAACGCATCCCTAGACAATGTCGATCTTGGTGACGAATCACCAAACGAGCTGCCCAAAGATCAGCATTCAAAGTCCTGGATACTCGAGAATGCGACAAATGGCAAGCCTGCTGAAGAGGTACCGGTGGTCGTAGAGAAGCAACCGTCAAAGAAGCTTTCACTGAGTAATATCACCAACTCACTACCTGCAATGCCATGGTCTCCCTCGAACACCGAATCGCCCCCCAAGCTCAGTCCCAACATAACGCCTACCCCTTCCACCATCACTCCAACTACGTCTGCGGCTACATCAGCAGCAGCACCTCCCCAATCCCGGAAGATTAGTAGTCCATTCGCCTGGCTATCTCGGAATTCGACACAGAAAGAACCCGTTACATCACCGCCCCCTGGTTCTCCCAGGAGAAATACGGCAAGCTCGATTGCCACATTGACTAGCAATCCCGAGATGATGCTAGGCAGACTCGAGGAAGAAAATGAAGGTGGCAGTACGAATGGTAGGCCCCGTCCAGCCCGGAACAGCCTGAAGGACAGGTTCAAGATGGTACGGATGAGAGAGGAGGCTGGGATTTCCTTGACCCCGAGCGAGGACGAAAAGTCTCCAGGGGTTGCCAACCTGATCTCACGGTCATCAACCATGGGCGCAACGAGCCCAGCAGGCGAGAACGGCCCAGATGCCAATGTCTCTCAGCCCCCGTTATCGCCATTGCCTCCTGGTACGAATGCGAACCTTGCCCCAGGCACAGTCTCGGGCGTCTCTGCTGGCCCCTCGGCAATGTCCGATGCCCAGATTGACTGGGATTTGTGGCAATCAGTCGTGTACGAAGGGCCGACTGCCGTTGCAAGGACGAGCTCTGAGGAACTCACCAAAGCAATTGCAACAGGTATACCAACCGTAATCCGTGGTGTCGTCTGGCAGGTACTTGCTCAAAGTAAGAACGAAGAGCTGGAGATGGTATACAGAGACTTGGCGGCTCGAGGTACCGAGAAGGAAAAGAATAGGAACAGCAACGGGACATCGGCCAGCCTTTCGAGCAACGGCAATCTCAACACTGATAAGGAAGTAGTGGCATCCTCTGCGTCGTCGGTTGTGTCTGAACTCTCTGGTGCTAGTGGCAAGAAGTCACCAACCACATCCCCTGAGCCGACCGAGGCTGTGCTGAAATCTCAAGCTTTGGCTGCGGCACAAAGGAAGAAGAAGGAGAAAGAGGATGCAGCCGCGCTACAGAAGCTTGAGAAGGTTATCCGGAGAGACTTGGGCGCCAGAACGAGTTATTCGAAGCACGTCGCCGCTGCAGGGCTGCAAGAGGGCTTGTTTGGTGTGTGCAAAGCCTATGCACTGTTCGACGAAGGAGTTGGGTATGCGCAGGGCATGAACTTCCTGATCATGCCACTCCTTTTCAACATGCCAGAGGAGGAAGCGTTCTGTCTTCTGGTTCGGCTCATGAACCAATACAAGCTGCGCGACCTCTTCATCCAGGACATGCCAGGCCTTCACATGCACCTCTTTCAGTTTGAGCGCTTACTGGAGGATTTCGAGCCGGCTCTCTACTGCCACCTACACCGCCGGAGCATATCGCCTCACCTATATGCGACCCAGTGGTTCCTCACTCTGTTCGCCTACAGGTTTCCTCTCCAGCTTGTACTCAGGATCTACGACCTGATATTCTCCGAGGGCTTATCAGCAATCCTTAGATTTGGCATTGTTCTCATGCAGAAGAATGCTTCAACATTGTTAGGCATGTCGGATATGTCGCAGTTGACAAGCTTCCTCAAGGACAAAGTGTTCGATATCTACATCGATCAGTCACCAAGCGCCGGCAGCATCCTTGAGAACGGCTTCTTTGGCAGCAGTTCTTCCAATATTGACAAGGAGGTTTACCGAGCCGACCAACTGGTCCGAGACGCGTGCGAGGTGAAGGTTACCCCGGAGCTCCTGAAGGTCTACACAGCGGAATGGGAAGAGAAGACCCGTGCTGAAAAGGATCGGGAGGAGGAGCTGGAGCAGCTCAAGTCTTCCAACATAAGTCTAGCCATCAAGGTCCGTAAACTCGAAGAGCGCATCGAGGCCAGCGATCGCGAGCAAACCGGAATGGCAACAGATTTGGTGCATACCAAGGTTGAGAACGAGGAACTCAAAGATAAGAACGAGAGTCTCGACGGACAAGTCAAGGAGCTACGCAATGTCATTGAGAGGCAGCCCGAGGAGATAGAGCAGGCCTGGCAGCTCGAGCGTGACGATCTTGTAAAGCGGAACGAGAAGGTTCATGAAGATAACCAGCGACTCGAAAAAGAGCTGTCGGAGCTTGAGGAGCAGCTCGTGCTGACCAAGATGAAGTATGCAGAGGTATGTTCAATACGTCCACGCTTCGGATACCTGGAGACTGACTAGTACGTACAGATTAACTCATCGCACGAGACGCTCCAGAGGAAATGGCAAGATCTCAAGCGCCAATTTGCTTGAGCTGCTCTGGCCTTCAACCTGGCTCTGTACAAATCTATTCCTACGACCCTCCTGTGCTGTGTACTGGCCGGGCCGGATGGAATGTTGTCTTTCGAGTCCGCTTACACGACGAACTACGATCTTACATGATGGAAAAGGCAAGGGCCCAGCCCACTACAGTTGGGCCCGGGGACATAATACTCGTTTCTTCGCACCTGTACCTCATCGCTGGCGCAACGAAAGTAAGAGACGCAGTTTTGCACAGCTGGCGTCAAATCATTTGCTAGCTGGACGGTCCGGCTAGCTTCGGGAGTTAAGAAGAAGGGACAAGGGATGAAGCTATCCCCTTGTCTTCTTCTGCCTGGCTGACCTCTCTGTATCACTCCCATGCGGACTCTATGTAAAGGGAAGGCATTTGGAGAAGCGGAGTGGATGATCAACTTGATATTCTCAAGTAAAGAGACGACGGCCGGATTGCATGCATGTCATAGAGAACTGGATGCCTTTACACCCATGAAGGGGTAAAGGGAGTATTGTATAGAACACGACCTGTAGGAGTCCACGAATACCAGATTCTTTCATGACCAGACGAGTTGAACTTCTTGGGACCTGAGTTTCATGTAATATCTTGTATATTTGTGGGCATTTTGTGAGACGTGATCGAGAGGACAGGAGTAGATAGGTGGTTTCCTAACTGAACGAGAGTGGTTTGAAGGACCGAGTGTATCTGGCAGATCATAAGCCCGTGAATCGTTTCAAAATCCGATAGACTCATCTGAACAGAATTTTGAGAAACATTACCTAGGTTCGTACAGTCTTATTTATGAGGGGTGGAACCATGACAGAAGCAGTCCAACGAGGCGAGGCGTTCTACCGGTGGTTTGTTGGTTGGTTGGTTCGTTGCAGTATTCAACGTCTATGGGAAGCTGTCTAGCAGCGTGTTCCACCAAATTCTCAAGGACGATGGGACATGGCAAGCGTTCCGCGATGCGCTCTACCCGTATGAGCAACAGGATGGAGCATATTACCAAGTACCTTAGGGACCTAGGTAAGTACAATCTATGCATAGAAAAAGCTTGCGATAGCAAAGTTTTCTCATGCCAGACTTTTACCACGATGCTCCCATTTCCACAATGCTGCTGCTGCCATGCCTATTGAGTAACAGTTATTAGTGGGGGCGGAAATCATCAGGAGTGCATTGCCGTACGTTTGTCATAGAGCGCCTGGGGATCAAAACAATATGGTGAAAGCATACAGCAACTTGACTTCTCACCAGTTTCACATCAGCTTGGTCACCAGTGGAGGGGTGTTTTCAGGCGATGAGGGTGAATTGCAGTAGTCGATGGACATTGGGACATCAGTCATGTGGAACTCCACTAGTAAAGACCTTTAGACCACAATGCATCAGAGATATATGGCAGTCCATCGGAGGTACTTATTGATGATCTTTTATTGATCCGAAACTAGTAGAAACTCGTGATCCCATTCCATGCTGAATATGAGCAGAATCCATGAACACCAGTTCCAGTGCGGGTAATATCGCAACAACGACGACCTCAAGAAACTTCCCATGCGTGACAACACCACCTAGCGTGCCGTCTACTTGTGCAGCTTGCGCTGGTAGAAGGCGAGCTCCTCACCCTCGAGGATGTAGCCGTCGCAGCGGCCGCTCTGGCCGGGTCGGCTGGCGATGACGGCGAATATGCGACCGGCCTCGAACTGCTTCTCAAGGGCGTTCTCGACCTTGCCCTGGGCGGCGAAGCGCTCGGCCTGCTTGCGCTCAACGGCCTTGCTCTTCTTGGCGGGCTCCTCCTCCTTGCCGGTCTTCTGCTGGCGTCTGCGGCCGAGAGCCTGTCCGTAGTGGGCCTCGTACCACTGGCGGAAGGGGGCGGCGTCGATCTGGACAACGGCGGACTTGGTCAGGGTGTTGGTTCGGACCAGCTCGTTGTTGGAGGGATGGTAGGCGACGACGATGACACGGGTCTTGCGGGTGCAGCCCTCGGAGGCCCAGGCGAAGTTACCCGAGTCGAGACGGAGGGCGCGGAACTTGGAGTTGCCGCCACGGGTGCGGACGGTGTGGATTCGCTTGGGACCGATTCTCGTGTTGGCCTCCTGTCGGCCGGCCTCGAAAGCGCGCTTCTTCCCTGGTGAGGAGGTCAGAACGTATGTTAACGGGCAAGAAGCCCCATACGGGCTTTCGACGTCTCAGAGAGACGGGTATAATGAGCACGTACGGTAGTAGGCTCGCTTCGCACCAGAGGCGGATCGCTTGTGGCGAGAGTCTCGTGAGATACCCATGATTGCGGTTCCTGCATCAGAGTTTTCTGGTTAGCAATGGGGTCCTGCGGATGGGACAGCGTATTGGGAGGTGGGAAGAGGACGTCTGGCAGGCAGAGGTGCTGCAATCCCAGCGAAAGACTCTCGCAGACCAGATCGCGCTTTCGATTAGGTTCTCAAGACGTACCTGATGAACTCGGTTGCAATCGCTGTGAGGGTTAGTTGGTGGTGGTGGTGGGATGGGTCGAGATGTTCACGAATATTGAGGAGAGTAGTACATGAGGAGGGCAGAAAATCAGAGTGAATTTGTCTTGCCAAATTGTGGGCGGCCACAATTTCGGGAGGGAAGGTACCTTGTACCTAGGGCTTGCAGGTGGTCTGTGCAAGCAAAGTCCGATGGGTGGGGTCGAAGCTGCCGGAACCCCCCTCATTGGCAGAGGGGCAACGACACCTCACTTACAACACTCATCGAAGGCGCTTCCCGTCATGTACACTCATTCACTCACTCAATCACTACTAAGTCTGCTTATTCTACCCTGCTTACACCAAATTGCCAAACTACTCTGTCTACACATTCAAGGATCTCCCATGATGATGCTTGGCTGGGCCATACTGGATGATCAGTTTTCTCATTGTGTGCTCTAGCTCCGTCCCAGGAAAGCAAACTATGTAAAAAGACCTCGAGGCCATTCCTCAACTCATGATTCCTCCTCGTCTGTCTCATTGATGAGCTCTTGGGCCACGGGGGGAAGCTTGCCCATCTCGATTTCCTGTGCCGGCTTGTCGAGATCAGCGGCTTCTAGTGCGGTCAAACCATCAGCTCCAGGGCTGCTCTTGGCCCAGTTCGCGACCTTTCGGTATTCCTTGGGCACCTTGGGGCCCTTCTTGGGAATGGCTTCGGGTCCGTGGGACAGGTGTTCGTACTTGTCATCAAGCACCTCCACCCGCGGCAGAGGCAAGAATCGACCGTATCGTCCCATCGCGCGATCATCACCATCAGCCTTCAGTTCGCGGTAGGTGGGCCAGTCAACGTGGATGTTTCTGCCGAGATCCTTGGCCCAAATGGACGGGCGCGCAGTGATCGGAGACAGTCCATCGCGTTCGTTGACGTGCTTCAGCTTCTGAGACATCTCGACCGGGATTTGCAGCTGCTCTAGGGGTCCTCCTGCTGCGATGAAGCGACGGGTCACGGCAGCTTGTTCCTCTCGCTGTGCGATTTGCTTCTCTACAGCTTCCTCGTTGGCACGACCGGTCGCCATCTTGAGCTCGACGTATTTCTTAAGTGATCGAGGCACGAAGGGTGATTTGTGCATGCTGCCGTGGTGCAGGTTGGCATTGAGCTTTCCCCAGCGCACACGTTCTTCCTCCGCCGGGCTGATCCACGACTTGGATGACGAGTAGCCGATCTCGTTGGGATGGTATAGCTGCTTATAGTTGTAGTCGCTTGCCGTGGGACCGGTCTCGGTGACGCCTGAATAATACGCCTCGGGAGGAGCATCGTACCATTCCTGGGAGCCACCACTGGCTGTGTACAGGTCTTCCTGATCATCGTCGCCATAGTAGTCATCGCCTTGGTCCGCTGGATACTGACCCTTCTGACCCTTAGCGGTATAGTAGTCATCGCCTTGGTCCGCTGGATACTGACTCTTCTGACCATCCATCCATCCACCTTCGTCGTGGGCACCGTCGAAGGCACCGTCGATTCCGAATTGGAAATAACCCGGCGGAAGTTCAGGCCAATGACCCAGCGGAACTTCATAGGAATCGAGAGCGAGAGAAATCGTGAACGCGTTATCGTACATCTGCTTCTGTTCGTCGTCCATGTCGATGGGGTGGTGCGGGGGCTCTTCAGTCATGGTAAGCCAGTTCGGACAAATCGAATGGTCGTGGGTGAACATCGGGGTTCTCTTCTTCTTGTCGGGCGAGGTGTCAGAGATGAGCTTTCCGGCATTGAAAGCAGCAAGGCGAGCGGCGGCGCTGTGGTTGCCAGAGCCGGTTCCAGCAGACCCTTCACGAGCAGCTGCCTCGACGACGGCACGAAGGCCGCTTAGGCAAGGACCTTTATTACGCTGGTGGAGGCTGAGCATGTGGAGGAAGCCATTTCCAGTGTCCCCGGAAAGAAGATCTCTAGTCGCGAATGGTAGGTTTCCAAGTGCTTCTTTCTCCTGGGCGTACTCATCCTCTCCGGCAGCAACGTAAGCAGGGTCCCAATCATAGCTAAACTTCGTGGGGGTCTTCTGAGGCCAGGCCAAGTCGGTGTACTGCTTCTTGTCGAGCGGTATGTCGACGGCTTTGCGAGTCTTCTCCATCTTGTCGGGCCAAAGGTTCTTCTCGCTGAGGCTGCGCTTCTTCGGTGAGTAGAATGATGCAGAAGAGCTAGCAGCGCTTCCAGGTCGAGAGGCGGTGCTTCCAGGTCGAGAGGCTCTCAGGGTCATGCGCGTTCCGCTTCTGGCTGCAGTGTTTTCCTTGGCAGGGGAGGGTGGTTGGTTCAATATGTTGGACCAGGTCACAGACTTGGAAACGGCCGGTGAGGGAGGTCTTGACAAGATGTGGGACCAGGTTGCAGGCTTGGCAGAAGCCGGTTGCACGTCGCCGGGATCCATCGCCGAGGTCAGTTGGCAATTGAATGAATGCGATGCAAGGTAGGTGAGTTGGAGGAACGCCCGTTGCAAAAATCGAGATGCCTCGGATCGTGGTGAATCAAGGGTGTGCGTGTGCTTGGGAGACAGGTGAGATCATTCGGGAGCTGAGGTGCAGATGGTCAATTGTGCAAGATTTCCTTGCAGGCCTCAGACATCGAGTCCTCGCATAGGCTGTATGGAACCAAAAGGACGACCAGGCGATCTGTGGTGGTTATTGGGCATGAGAAGGATCGTGGTGGTGCGTTGCCTGTACAGCAACAACCCAGCCGGGCAACCAAATTCGGGCTCTCCCTGGTGGATACCTCGGTACTTCAGTTGTAGCCCAAGGCAACCAGATTCACCTCCAGCAAAAGTACAAGTTCGAACTTATGTATTTTCTATCCAGTGCACTGATCAAATGACTTGGCATTGGGGGTAAAGGGGAAGAAAGGGCGGGTATAGGCAGCAGCAAGGCAAAGGAATGAACCAGTTAACCACAACACCATTCGCTGCTAAGAAGCAGACCAAAAGTGTTGACATTATCCTGCCCTTTCTAAGCGGATTATGTGCCTTTAGCAGTAACCGTCCATGGCTCTTGTCAGCCTTGGTCCCTCCTTGCGCTGAAAGGCAGTAGAAAGCCATACCTACTCTCCACACTGCAACAGTACCATCAAGAAAATTACTGAGCCTTGCCACATGACCAGCACCCAAGACCGGACTTCCTCCCTATTACGATCTCATGCATCTCCATGTCTCCTCCAGGGGTACACTCAGCCCTCATAAGCCTCCGTACGCGCATTGATGTCGATAAAATTCCACATCACCCGCAAAGAATTAAAGTATTGGAATAAGCCTATTGGAATAAGCCTATTGGAATAAGCCTATTGGAATAAGCCTATTGGAATAAGCCTATTGGAACAAGCCTATTGGAATGAGCATATATAATGTTACACGACACTTTTAATGCTTATGCCAGCGTGTTTATTCTAATTACGATAGATATATCGTTGTTTGCTGGACGGTGGTCTGCGGAGACTTATGAGGGCTCAGTGTAACATGCAGAGAGAAGCATTTCAACGTCTAATAAGGTCAACCACATGGATATCTGGTGCTACGCAACAAGATCAATAGAAGTACAGAATACTTTCAGCAAGCATATGAGGCGTTGGTGTGCACCATTTTATCATCCCGAGGGCACCGGGCTCAAGGGGTGTAACATTCCTTCATCATGAAAATGAACGATTATATGCACGATTGTCTATGAACTTACCAAGAGAGGCTCACTCTCTCCTTATATTCACTTTTGCGTCTAGGTCCTTGACATAAACAAAGTAATGCTGGTTCCCCTTCTGGTCAACGAGCTTGGCCCGTGCTTCAATTACACCCAGAAGCCTACCTACCTAGGCAGTAACGAACACTTGGCGACTCAAAGAAACAAGGCTCTTGACAGGGAGTCCAGTCAAAGGCTCAAGAACTCCCCAGAAAGGCCCAGACGCTCCTGCAAAGAATTTTGTGATCCAAGCTACAGGCAGTAGATTGAGATATGTGAAACTTCAAAGCGCCGCTTGCCATCAGGTGCCATATCGAAAGAGATGTGTTGAGTGCCATATTTCGTCCTTCTCCTGAGCCATCCGATTTCATACTCCGACTACTTGACTTCTTTCCGTACCAGTGCCAGTGCCAGATTTTCATTGCGTCATAAACCTCAATGAGAGGCTCCTTCATCTTCTTTATGATTCATCAACCCCCATATGATAGCAACTGCGAGCTAGGCGTACCGTACTAACAAGCAGACTCTACAGCAGCCAACTTCGCAATCACCCTTGCCGCGACATACTGCCCGGGATCCCTCAGCACCCGTTCAGTAGACCGCCTCGACGTCTCCTGCGCAGCCCTCCCATCTCACTGCCACCTACCACAGCCACCAACAGCGTACCGCTCAGATACATACCCGGCCGTACATCCCTGGCTCGTCGCCCGCCACCCCTAGACGACGCCGACGCCGACGCCGTCCTCCTCGGCCAGCTGCGCGAAACTGTAGTGGTCTAGCTACTTCAGCACGCCCGCCGGTTCCCACCACCTGCAGGTCGGGCCGCGCGGCGAGGCTTGACGACGGTGTAGAAGGGATGTACGTACACCACGAATGCGTGCAGTCGTCTCTTCTTGCGTATCGCGCCGAGAGTAGGACGTACGTACTAAAACATCCAACACAACAACGGCCGGATCTACCTCGTCTACCTAAATATGATACCTGCGGTGATGCTTGTATTAGTCATCTAACAGCCCCGAGGCCCAGGGTTCATGAGTACCTGCTAAGTGATGTCCTGCTAAAGCGCCATATATTCCTCCCCATACCCAGGCCCCCACCGGGAAAGGCATGCTGCTTGGCACCCCGCGCGCCCCTTGCAGAACAACAAGTCATCATCCCCCCATATGGTTGGCCTTCTGACATTGTCCTTCTAGAACAAGCGGATTCTCCTCCGGAGCTGCGCCAAAGGCGACAGCACCCACTACAGAACTGCTGGAATGCTTGGCAACTATCAGACCATCCCCTGAGGGAGTATGTTGCTGCTCCTGACGTTGCATGATGATGTCCGAGGATGGAGCGCGGCTGGGCATTGGGTTGAATGGCGCGTAAGCCACCGTGGCGTTAGGGAGGTGGCGGTGCACTCATCAGGGGCCATCATAGGGGCCACAAAACCACCAACAGAGACTGCACAATCATCAAGACCACCAGCACTAAATACACGAATATCAATCATATGAGCCATATTCGCACTGTATGACACATTGTCGGTGCCTATGACAAAATTTCGGGCCAGTTTTCTACAATGATAGTACAATGACAGGACGAACAGGCCTCGACAGCTATAACACAACTGGAAGTGCAGCAATATACCTCAACAGGCTGCTCTGAAAGCGCAGGGTGGTCCAAATGATCCCTGGGTATGTTTCTTGAACCAATACAGGCCACAAGGCATCAGAGACCTGTCATTGGTATGTCAGGTCTGTGCAGATCTATGGAGCTTTGGTATTTCTGAGGATGTTGGACATGGAGTCTGCCTTGGGGCCTTTGCTAGGAACCTGACACATTTGCTCCCGGCTGAGGCACATGGACTATGTACTTACCACCGACTTGCCTCCACCTGCCATCAATCCACGCAGGCGTTTCGTGCTAGGTTTATGGGCTCTTTCCCCGTTCGGAGCGCCGACGCCGACGCCGATAACAATCGCCCGATCCATTCGATATGCCGCTTCGTACCGATGTGCCTTTATGGTAACGGAACCAGAACGGAGATCTATCACAAGTCTTGGTTGGGATGATCTGTATTCTGGTTGGTGCTTGGTTAAGTTCGGATGGGAAGGGATCCCATCCGAGAAGTATCTAAATACCTAAATTACAGTGGGTTGGTACCTGTCACCTGGGGCAGCCATCCCAGGTAACCTTATCGTAGAACGCCCTGGATGACAGGAGATCCGATAAGGTACTGGTGGCTGGATCCAGTGGCTGGGATCCACACCGACGACGATTTTCCTTCCAATTTCGACGTCAAATCGTCGCTATAAATCCGAACTATTTGCTTATCGTTTTGTTTTTTACATTTATAATCTATGTTGTAAAAGCGTGTTAATTTAAGATTTAACTTTTAGTAACCGGCAATTTTTATGACTTATATAGTTTAACACTTTACTTTCTAATACCGCTATATAACTTATTAGTTTAAATCTTTTCGTATTTTCGTATTATATGAACGATATATTTATTCTCAATTCTTAATACAAGAAATTCAATTTAATTTTTTGATATAATTAGCGAGAATCTTTTCATACAGTTTTATTTTATTTATTATTTCCGGTAAATTAAAAGGAAAAAAATCTCGGTCGATATATTAAATATTAAAACGTATTAATAATATATCGTTTAAATAACATTACGTTAGGATTCTAACCTAAATTATCTTTTATTATTTAATGTTAAATAAAGTGGTGCAGGTAATATAGCTGCAAGTGGTTTATACGTAAACTAAGTGGATTTAAAGTGGGTTTAAAGCTTTAGAAACGGTTAATTAATAACCGTTACATTATAGTTTTAACGTTATACTAATTAAATATAGTTTTAACGTTATACTAATTAAATACTTAATAACTATATTTAAATATAAATTTATTTAAATATAAATTTATTTATAATAAATAATTATATAATTACGAATAAAAGTGTTACTTATACTTATATATATATATATTTTATTTAATAATATCTTATATTATAACGTTGTTGGAACAGGCTTGAACGATCAATCATAATACTCGAGTATGGGGTCAAGGTCATGATGTTGCTGATGGTTGGATTGAGAGGAATCTAGCTGGACTCGAAGGTCTGGCCAAGTGCCCTCTCAATCCACTATCTTATCTTATCTAATCATACATGTGGGTCCTGGTATAGATTGTTTGCAGTCTGGAATCGCATGGATCCAACAAACGTAATAAAACCTTAAATATTCAAAAGCGTTATATTTATATACAAATTAATTTTTTATTTTCCCTTACGAATTCAAAAGTATACGTTATTATCGTTAAGCTTGTTTATCATCATATTATGAAGACGTTAATTAAATATAAAACTTCTAAACTTTGTAAAATTGATTATACGATATAAGGTCGTTTTTTTCATGTAGAGATCTTGAGAGTTAATAAGTATTATAAATAACGTAAATAAATACGAAAATAACATAAAGTTATCTGCTATTAACAATAAAAAGCTTATTAATTACAAAAAGCTATGGTTTATAAAAGAGGCTAAAAATTAGGTTTTTTACTAACAAATTAAAAGAGTTAATAAGTACTTTATAAAAACGAAAGATCATTTTAATAATTAAATTATTCGATACAGCAATTGAAAATGAAAACAATAGCGTGTAAGTTTTTATTTAATAAAAGAAAATTAAAAGATAGCAAATACTGCTTTATAAAATAAAAAA